ATCGCTATGGCGAGCAGGCTGGCTCGGTGGCCTCCGACCTCACTGGCGGAGTCAAGAATGTCGGTCTGGTATATATCGACGCCGCAGGTGTCAGCCGCAAAGCTGTGCTGAAATCTGTTGCGAGGGGCATGGTCGTCGGCCGTATGCGCAACGGGCAGCAGGTCCTCGTTGGCACGGGCGACGGCGGTGATGTCCCCGCTGGAGTAGCTGGCCCAAGTCAGGCATATGGCCGTGAGCCGGTTGTAAGACGTCAGTCTCCCAGCTCGACCCCTCCACCCGCATACGGTGCACCGGGCACTACTTCGTTGAGCGGTATGTCCATGTCGGGGGGCAAGCGTTGATGTGGATGCTCTCGGTGTGTTCATTGATTCTGGCTCGGTTTGCTACACTCTGTTTAATGTATGATTTATGACCTTGATGCCCTGGGCTGGTGATTTCCCGCGTGTCGTCTGTTTCTGCACTCTTTCGGATGATTTATGACTCGTCCTTGTTTATATGGAGATATGATGCAGCCTGATATATGGTGGCACATCAATGAGACGGAAACAGCAGTGACATTTGTTCTTGTCATATACTACGCTAGAGCTAGTACTATTTCCCATGACCAACTCTATTCCAGGCTAGTTGTGAATATTAATTCTCGATACCCATCACCAATGTTGACTTTCCGTCTACTACGTAGTATAACTAGTACGAATGATCCATATCCAGGAGCAGTTGCAACAGTTTCAGTACCACTAGGCGTAGGTTTATTGTAAAAATGTATCCCGCACCCTACTAGTACTTACCATTATCTGCCGCAGTAAATATATATTAGCATGCAGCTCGCATTATCATCTCACCAAATCACCCCAGTATGACCACCAGCTAACTGACTACTACCCATCCATTACCTTGAACACAGTGACAATGATGTAGGTCCAATCAAGCTACTACAAAGCATCATCCCAGCACGTCCCTCACGAATTAACTTAAACCACACCAGAAAAATACCTCCTCAGTTTAGCTTTCCCCTATAGTGCCAAAATCTAAGAACTTAAACATCAATAAGACAATATGGCCGAGCGGTCTAAGGCGATAGACTAGAAATCTATTCTCTTCGGAGGCGTCGGTTCAAATCCGACTGTTGTCGATATCCTTTTCTTGTTTTCTTTTCCCCCTACTTTACTCCCCGGGGGGAGAACTTTTTTGTGGGAACTGTAAGTAACCATTGTGTGGTTGTTGTGGGTCATGGGTGGGGTCGGTTGGCGGGTGATATCCAGAATTATCATATGGGGGGTCGTGATTATTGGTATAAAGAGTATTTTCTTTTTTTTTACAGCCTTGATGTCTTTTGGGGAATGGGATGTGTGCGATGTATGCTTGGTAGGTATGTGTCAATGTCGAGTTATTGAGTTTATGTTGGGAAGGACGTAGATATTGCTCATGTTTAGAGGTTAGGATATGGGTAGGTAGAGTTATTTCTCTAGATTATTAGGTATCTGGTTCTCTATTCGGACGAAAAGGGAAGAAGGAGCATGACACGCAGTAGAATTTATTGATTGGGAGCATGTGGTAATTATGTACAGGGTAATGTAATGTTGTACACCGCGTGTGCGTGTATGTATGTAGCTTAGGGAGACGGGGGATAGCAATGCGAACACTAGATGCTACTTATGGGCTATGAGCAATCTACAGCTGCAGTTCTGCATAATGCCATGTATAAAGGGGAATATCTTGGTGCTAGACTGCATGAATGGATTCATTGGGTAGGGCAGCTTTGTCTAGCTATTTAGACAGTAGATAGTCTTTATGGTCATGTTCGGAGATGCGCTTTGAGATGCGCGCGAGTCATTCCTTACCCCCAGAGATGAGTGAAAAGCCACTGGTATCCTAGCAAGGCTCCTATAATGCAATCTACTATCGACCTACTAGATGATCACGCGATATGTACATCCCCGAGAAGGACCGCCTCGTTCCCGGGGAGATCAAGCAAAGGAAATTAGTTATATCTCAGACCCTGTCATAGTAGTACCCCATAGCTCAATGCAGAGACAACAAGTAATATAGGCATGCAGAACATGTTCCACGCGACTAGCCCAAGAAAGGGAAAGATCATGACTGTGGTGCTATGTGTTCAGTGAGTAATTCAGACATCCATGTACAGCTAGTTGCCCATCAGACCCCGATCTGGGAGAGTAAACATGGCGCAAATTGAAATTGGTCTCTCAGACAAGCATTGATTATGTTGCAGAAGAAGTCATCGATAAGGCTGGCAGGGTAAGGAGATCTCCCCGACAACCAGCAGCAGCAGCAGACAAACAAGGGGATCGATGAAGGGATGCAATTGAGATTATAATTAGATCGGTTAGTTAATTAGTTAGTTACTTAGCTAGAGTTTACTGTACTGTACAGTAGGTATCAGCAGTTGTCACAGGCTCACAGCGCATACGTAATTGGGGGAAATCTCCGAAACCTACTATTATCATCGGCGCGATGCTGGGGTAACGAACTGGTCGTCGGTTGTCGGTCGTAATGCGGAGTAGATCCGGTTTACTACTTACAGTACACTCGGAGGGTTACACTGCAAAGGTAGTTGCCCAGGCCGCCAAAAGTAATCAATAAGAGTCTCCTTGATTGAGCATGGGCCTTTTTCTGTTTTGTCTTGGTTTGTTTTGTTGCTTCCCTGGGAACATCCCTGTCGAGAGTTTCTATTTTAGAGGGATTGGCTTGACGGCCCCCCTCTCTCACACCCCTCTCGGGTAAGCCGATAGACTAGACTGTCAGCTTTTAAATTACATAGCTGGATGAGGTGCATCCTAGCTGGCAGGCTAAGGTAGCTAGCTGATCAAGGTCGGTTTCATGTCGGGAGACGTAGGAGTAAGATACAGCATTAGCATGGGGTGGTTGGTCCAATGGCGTGCAAGCTGGCGCTAGTTAGTCCAATGCTGCACTCATGGGAATATCTACCCAATTCCGGAAGTATCCGGTTAGTGTGGTTGGACATGTCGTATCAGTAGCTATCAAGACTGGAGGGCGGAGTAAGTAGAGTTGCGGAGGATGGGGTTCAGGAATGGAAGATTTATCGAACATGTAGATAGAAGGGAAAAGGACAGTCGATAAGAAAGATATCAGGAATTATGATGATCCATCAGCCAAGGGATAAAAAAGGAATGAGGTATGTTCATAGTGCCCCAGCATTAAATAAGCTCGGCCTTGGTGGGCAAATAATTGGAGTACCGATCATGGTAAGAAGGACAACTCCAGGGATGGCGGTTATCCCTACCGTGGATAGGATATCCAAGGGTCAAGGATGGGGCAGGACCCGAGAAAGAAGAGGAGCACGTAGATGTATTAAGCGCTGTGGTTGGGGGCTTTTTTTATTTTTGGTCAGGGACAGGTATGATCCATTGACGTGTATGTGATTTAAGTTCGTTTAGTTGAGTTAATTAGATTTGGTAGCGATCGGGAGTTCATGAAGCCCAGTCAGTAGTAGTAAATTCTGAGAGGAAATCATAATAACAAGTCGAATAACAATTAAAACAGCAAACCAGCAAAACAGACTACTGTAAGTCCCCTGCTAGGCGGTGGTACCTAAGGCAGGTACCAGTGGGCGGCGTGACCGGCGGTACCTGAGGTGTCCAGGACGGTAATCTTCCGGACAGCCAATCAGCAGTTGGGCGCAGACGATGACTGCCCGGTTAGTCGCCGTAATGACGATCGGCTGCCCCAGCGGCTCCAGTAGCGACTTTTTTCGTGCCGGCTTGAAACAGTGGTTCGATGCCCCTGATGACTTGGCGCCTTCTCATGCTCACTTGGTCTCTGGTCTATCCTCTCTCTGGTCTGTCGGTCTGGCTGTGGTGTGCTGGGAAGCTGGCAGCTGGCAGCTGGGAAGAAGGTGGTGGTGTCGGCTGATTATGACCGCTGCGCAAGACTCAAATTAGGTATACGAGGGCCGCTTGTTTCATTATAGTGGTAATCGACAGAAAAGCACGCATAAACTGGCACACCAAGTGAGTACATAGTAGATAGTTCGGTTCTAGTGAACACTACTACATAAGGTACATGATCGCCCATCCGGGCGAATGACCAGACTCAGAAGGAGAATCCCAACGGCCGGTCGAACCAGGCAAGGGACAACACCCACGTTCAGGCCCTTGTTTAAGTGGTTCTCGTCTGGATCGGGCGTCCATTGCGCCCTCTTTCTGCCCCATTTTGCATCCAAGAAGGAAACCGCAGGAGAAAGTGAGGGAACAGGAAGAGGAAGAGGAAAAAGAAAAACAAAAAGCATTTCGTCACCACCTCGTGAGGATATCGGGTCCATCATGGATTACATTACATTAGGTAGCCAGGGAAGGCGGTCATCCCCACTAACGTTCTAGAGTCAGTCGGGTTTTCCTAATTGAAGCCCACTCCTCCGTCCGTATTCAAGGTTTCCATGGTCCAGTCACATCCCTCGCTCCTCCCAATATTTCCGAGGTCCCCCAATGCAGCTGTTTTTGATGTAGTTCTGTATGTAGGTCTCTTATGAAAATGTAGTTTAAGGTTGAGGTTGAGATATGAATATCTTAAATAGATGTTTGGTTTTCAAGCAAAGATCGGGCTGTATTTGATTTAATTTCATCTGTCATCAACCTGTTGGTTTATTCCTTTTTCTTCCTACTACTTCTTTTTCTTTTCTTTTCCCGACTGCCATGTTGCGCTTGCTTTAACTTCTGGCAACTTGTTTATGATTTTAAATCGGGGCGGCGATGATTATTCCTGGCAAAGAGATCCGACCCGTTGACCCGCTTTTTGCTTTCCCCAGCCAGCACAGCAAAGCAACGCAAAGCAAATGCTGGTTGACGGACTGGTTGCCCGTTCCTTCTCGCGACTCGCCTTGGAATTATTTGTCCTGCTGTTTCTCTGGCTCCCCAACTACTTAACTGGGAACCTCATTTCTATACTTGACATTTCTGCTACGTACTTCCCGACACGAGCAGGTCAATTTGTTCACTAACCAGATATGAAGTAGTTAGCAGTTAGCAGATAGTACTCAGCAGGTGGCCCCGTCAGAGTGCTTGGGTGGGTGTTCATCGTTCGCAGGAGGGCAATAATAATAATAATAATACCTGGCTTAATTAGCTGTATCTAGTAGTAGTCGACTAACTAGCATTATCAAAATTATTGTTTTTATTATTATTATTATTTTTATTAGTTTTATTCGTATTGCTACGACTTCACACTTACCACCGCCATCTCTTCCTCCCCTTCTCTCTTCTTTCCCATCATCATCTCTTTCCCTCCATCCTCTTCCTCTTGTTCCCTTTGTTCTTTTTTGTTCTGGTTTCATTCGATTCTTGTTCTCTTCACTTGTATTTTCTGCTTCTTGCCTTCGTTTCGGGATCCTCTTCCTTTTAGACCCC